TGAGACGAAATTTAGGCGGCTGCATTGCTCTCAGGAATGTATTGCGACATTGGATATTTATAAACCCTGGGAACAATTTAAATTTTGAACTATTGTAAACATGAAAAGGTCGAACGTGAGCATATGACTTGTGTGAGACATAAGTAAAAACATTTTCCTGTAGAGGGCTGATATATTCCGTCTGTAGCAAAGTATCAAATAGGCGAACTCTATGCAAAGTCTCAAACATGATGGAAGTAATAGTAGCCTTTTTTACTGAAAAATCGCTTCAGATATTCGTTGTGTTCTCTTGACAGTTTTCAACTTTGGGCTGATTTATCCATAATTGCCTTACCCGATTCTCTGTTTCTACCCGTGAATGCTTACATCACCCTCCTCGCCTATCCCCTGATTCTCTTGTGCGGTTTCAATTGTAAGTCATACCCAGGAGCATTATCGCTAAGGTAGCTCAGTTTGGCTGAATGAGTGGGAGCTATTTTTGACGAACTGAAGATATTTCTTCTGAAAGTTTTTTCACTTTCATTACTCGATATTCATATTATTGGGGCTGCTCGAACCGTATAACCTATATGAAAGGTAGCTCGAAAGCAAAACGATGGATGATGTTCAAGTAGGTGCAACCAAATTTAGTGTATCATAGCAGGCATACATATCTTTATGTAGCTGATGCGCTTGGTGAAAATGGGGAAAGTGACAGTGCAAGAGCGCCGATAGGACCCTAGGCGTTTTACGCGGAACGGATGTGATGTTCGTGTTCAGAAGGTCAAATAACCCCTAGGCACGAAGTTTTAGTTGAATCCAGTTTCGGGCCAAAACTTTGAAAAACTTCCTTAACAATTAGATGAGAAGCATGACGAGTAAAACTTTTGCTCAAAGTTGCGAACAACTTTTCATTAAGATTAAGTCAAGGGTTCAGTTCAGGGAGTCACTCGTCTTCTGTGCACTTCAATACCATACTATAAGGCCGTCATCTTGATGTCCTTCGAATGTCCACATTGCGGCTTCAGGAACAATGAGATACAGAGTGGAGAGGCTGTTCAGGTTTGTCTTTTCAATAACAACTTCTTGTTAAAGGCAGTTGGCACGATAAATCCCCCAAGACGACTAGGATCAATACTCCTGGCAGGATAGAATTCCGCGACCCTGGGCAGGCGCTGCATAGCGGTTTCCCCGAGGAAGGTGCCCTTATAAGGGCCCTATCAAGCCACAACTTTACGTCCCAAACGCCCGCCACGCCCGCCCGCCCACAAATGGACGACCGTTCCTGACGCTCGTATTCATTCATTTGCTAAGCAAATTATGAAGCGGCCGTGATGCTGCATGCATACATGGGTACACATATGCAGCCGTATCTTCGGTAGCGGTGATTGGCAAGATGCCTACGGGAAACTCGTCCGAAATCGATTTACAAGTCACTGAGAACGGAGGCTTTTTCTTCGCAGGATTTTGACCGTTTCACTCCGTTCTTTCGCCATTTCCCCACTATACAGCGCCCTACTAGCATTTTAGGCTAAGTAGGAAACCATCGTGCCAACTGCCTTTAAACTCCCTTCCCTTCCCCCTAGAGCTATTAGCAGCGGAG